TTAAGAGGTCTTGATGAGCCAAAGCAGCTCAGGATGAAAGTCCATAGCATGCCAGCAAGCTGAGTCGCTTATGCTCAGGCCTCTTCAAGGATGCAAGAATTGCACGGTGAATCGCATAGCAAAAGGTTCTCTCTCACCTTGGCTAATGGGACCACAAATGAGCACCAATGAAAGATTTGGGGCAGAGCTCATGCTGCTGTAAGCACATCCAAGACAACTGAAGGCAGCCATTTTCCTGCAATATGCTCCAAAACTGCCTGTGGCATCATTACTTCGATAGTTAACCAAAATAATAATTTACAACTTTTCTTCCAGTTGCAGTCTAAATCTAGAGTAGATCTGTCTTCAGAAGCATTCTAATTTAAGCTTGCATTTTAGAAAATCCTTAAAATAATCTATTTCTTATTTGTCAGTCTCCATGACAAACACTGGTTTTCACCAGAACAAAGAGCAGCCAAAAACTCAGACATACCTATCCATCACCGGGGGGGAGGGGGGCGGGTGGTCCACAGGGGGAAGGTGTGACCCATCAGGACACCAAGGAACTGGGGTCCAGCTTTGCATCTTTCTGCACCTAAAAGTCTGTATCATCCTCTAAGACTTGCACCCCTTCGTATGCTATCCTTTAGTAGGGAAGACAGAAAAGTTAAATCTATTCAGCAGGAAAAGCAGTCTTTCCCAATAAGAAAAAAACCCACCTTTTTTCCTCATCTCCACCTTCCTTGTTCATGTTTTTTCCTCTTACACTTTAAGAAAAATTAAATTCCAAATTTACACAAAAATTAACAGTATATTGCTGAATTATCAAGGACCCCATTCACTACAGAGGATGAACAGCATAAGTCCACAAGAGCAACTGCTGCTTTCCATCAGCTAAAGAGGTCACTATTTATTTTATCTTGAAATTAGTATCTTTGCTCTTTAAGTATAAAAATATTAAAATGAAATCAGGCCCTTCAGATGAAATAGAACAACAAAATCCAAGTCTCTTGGCTTGTTAGAAAGGCCAACCTTCTTCCAAAACACCCCTAATTTTAATTGATTTATATGCAAGACAAGCAGTTAAAAAGAAAAAAGAACAGACTCTCAGCTATTTTTCCACACAGTAAGACCCGCTGGGCAAACAAAACCGTATTCATTATTTACCTTGGGGCAGGACCCAGAGTCCTTAACCAGGTTAAGGGCCTTATTGTGTTAATCTTTACATTAGTCCAATGTAACATGCACCATATTTAAACAAAATAATGTCAATCCCTCCTTAGTAAGGGGGCTGGGAACGACACAACACCAACCCCCTCCTCCCTACACACACATTGCGGTATAATCTGCCACCTTCTATAAACGCTGCCATTTGTCTTTTCTTTAGATGCATTGCAGGAATATTTCCATATAAGCCCTATTATAATAAAAATGACAGTGTGACAAACAGCTTTGCAAATAAGTCTGCTGCTCCAACAAAGCACAGACTCAACATACTGATTTGCAGAAATACCCCGTATAATTCACAAGTGCTACTAGTTGATTTGAAAACCAGTAAATTTAGGTGGTCGCTTTATCTTCGCCATCACGATACTTCCTAACACAGAGCTGAAGAAGTAGAGCATGTGCTCCACTCCTGCAACCGTTCCCCCAATCCCTTCCTTCTCCTCCCCTCCAATTTACACTGATTACAGGTTTCAAAGTCTTCGAGATTCATTTTTAAATTCTATTTAAAATGCTGATTTTTGCTTGTTTCCTTTTCATCTAGATCAATACTGCACAGATGGTAAATATGTACCATTTACCATTTATACTTTTTCATCTTAGCACTGAATATCCTACAGTAAGCTTAAGAAAAATCAGTTCCTGGATAGCACTTGCGTTCCCCTTCTTTAGCCTACTCCCTATTTTATCTATAATACAATACATAAGCCTGAGTGTGTTCTATTAACACAGGCACCCATTACAACGTTCAGATATTAAGTGCAGCAGGAAGGAACTGCATCTCAAAACGTTCTCTGCTCATTTTAAAGTTTGTCTAATTTTATGACGGTACTTCAGCGTATACACTATTCTTTGCAAAACAGTGCCCCAGTGTTAAGACATCACCACATCATTTTTCTATTCAGTCTTCACAGAGAGAAGCCACCATTTTCTTTTCAATACATGCAAATTAAATTGTTTGTCTCTACAGAAAGTGTAAACCACAGAGAATTCTGCATTTCAGTGGTGATACTGTCACCTAGCATTAAAAACAAGTATTAATTTGTAAATGAACCTCCTCAATCGCGTTCAAAGGAAGTAATTAAGCATTTAATGGACTAACAAACCAGCACAAATATTAGTTTTATTACTTCCAAGGTACCTCACAACCATATAAAATTCCCCTCACACTGATGATCTTCTGCATCAGAACAATGAGACTCTTGTACAACACAATTTTCAATAGATTCAGGCTTACTGGAGTCTTGCAAAAGCCATACAATTTATACAGTTTCAAATTTAGAAAAACATAAATAGCTGCTTACACATATCAGGGATTATAAAACTCGATTTTACATTCTAGAGCCTTAAAAAAAAACCAACAGCATCTTGCAAGTATCCTGCTTACGAAACGCTACAAAGTCTTTAATAATCATGCAGTATTTTCAGCATTTAAAAAAGCTCAAATTCATTTTTCTAGCAAGAGCGTTTAAGAATGCCTTATCTCATTAAAATAAGGTTTTAAAACAATGCCTACATTTAACTTACATAATGCACTAGGTTTTCTGTAATTATCTAGTAATTCCAACTATTCAGTAATACAGGAGACTTAAAGCACAGCTTAGGAACAGCGAGATTTGTATTTTCCAGCAACCCTGTGAAACTCTGGCAAAGTTAATTCATTGCACTGACAAGAAAAGAAACCTTAAATACAATCAGGCAAAGTAGTTTAGCAGCTGTATACAGGGCTTTTCTTTTGCTCGAGGCTTTAATAATTTCAACAGGCACTATTTCACAAATAATCTTTCAAACTCAGAAGAGGCACGCTGCGATAGGAGCCAAAGTCGTGGCTCTAGTAATGCACAAAAATCCCGACATACCCGGGTGGCGACTGAAAGATACATTCATTAACTTTGTTTTCCTGTCTTTAAAAAGGTTAAGTGGAATGCCGATTGCCAGACAATCACTTTGTTTCAGACATTTTTATTAGACAAAAGGCTTACAGTTAGCACTGCATTGTGCCCCACCCAGCTGGCTGAGAATTGTCATCTTCTCACTCCATTAGGCTGTAGGGCTGTATTACAATTTTCTAATTAAGCATCCCCTCCGATACATGTGTCTACCTTAAAAACACACTCTCTTCTTTCCCTCTCCTCCCAAATAATCTTTTGGCAGCTCAGACACGAGGAGGAAAAGCCCCGTGAATGAAACAATGAAGGAATAGGGTAGTACTGACCTTTTCCTGTAATAACGTCTCACGTCTCTCCCTCCCTTGCTGGTTTCTTAAACTAGGAAACCGATTATTTCAAAATGAAGAATTACCAGAAGAAAAAAAGAAAAAAACACAAAGCCTTCTCCAAAACACTCACTCTCCCTCCAAAACAGTCAAGCCTATATTGGTCTTTTTTTTTTTAATTCCCTAAAAATATTTTGAGAATAAGGATTTTTATACACACCCCCCCCCCCCACTCCACCTGCATATGACATATTAAATGTAGCGTTTAAAATAAGATGAAATAAATACTGTTTCTTCTCTTTGCACCATGCATACGTATTGACACTACTATACAAATGCAGGGTATGTGAAAAGAATGTTAAAAGCTTTATACTTATGAAATCTAACTTACAGGATTTTCAATAAACACATGAATTTAACCACCTAATTCATAAGAATAGTAAATGACAAGTTTCTCATGAGAGTGTCACATTTACTTAATCACTATTTATGTCTCTGATTTGAAGCAGCTGTACACCTTAACATTAAACACCAAGTACACACTGTGAGAAAATAAAGAAGGTACTGCTAAAGTACAGAAAATATTTTCTGTTTTCAAAACAATTTAAAGTAATATCAGGTTCTCCAAGGTCTGTCTATGTACACTCAGTTTAATATAAAAACTGGTAGCCCTTGTATCACACAAGCCTGACTAAGACTAGCTAACAACAATATTATGTTAAGTCAAAATGGAGCATCACTTAGCCTGATTTATTAAAAGGAAAATAATTAGGTGGGACGCGGTTTTCACAAGAAGGCCCAATTCCCCCCTCCCTTCTATCTCTAAAACTGATCTGATGAACATCCATTATTTCTCCCCTCCACAGCACCTTTTTAAAACCTATTTTACATCTCCAGCCATCATGCATCTATGAAGTGCTAAGAGTTTTCTAAATGTGGACTTCTTCTCTAGGTAAAATGGAGGCATATTAAGAAACATTACTTCTTACACTAATATTTCCCAGCATGTATTTGACAGAATCCTATTAACCCACAATTACTTAACCTGTGGTGAAATGCAGCCAACTCTTCCCTTCTGAACGGTTATTTAATACACAGATGTTTCATGCTGGTTAGACACTTTATATTCTTGCTACCTTAAAACCATCATTTTCACATGAAATAAGTTGTGTTTGTTACCATAGCTTAGTTTTGCTTTGTGTTTTTCATCTATTCATTGGGCTCCGGAGTGGTATTAATGAAATCCTTGTGGTACCTACCTTCCAACATGTCAATGGCTCAAGAAAGGCCATAACATTGCCACAAATGGATTGAAATACACCTCATTCTGTCAGAGAGTAGGTGCTGGTGATGCAAACACTGGAAATACAGGCGAATTCCTTCCTAGTTACTATTTTTTTTTGGTAGGAAAAGCAGAGCCTTTCAGATATTACCCATGATGCCTCCCAACCAAAAACATCTGCAATATGCTACGTTCCCCGTTTGTCGCAATCAACCCGCCTATTTAAAGAGGGGGGAAGAAACCATTAATGTACCAAAATCCACACACGCAAAAATTCATAGGAACACCTCTCGTACTTACACGTCGCACTGAGCCGCATGCAGGAAGGTAGCTGTGGCAGTGCCAACCATGTTGAAGACCTGCAAGACCCGGGTATTTGTTAAGATGTTATTTGTTCGTTTTGTGACTTTCAAACATAGAGCATTCCCCACATCCCCAGAACTACCTACCGATTTTGCTCATGATGCTCTAATTTTAAATATGGTTTGTGAAAGATGGGATGAGAAGAAACGTTCTAGGTATTTTAACCTCTTGAGGTTACAGCTATAATTGTAAGAGTGTTTAAGAAGCACCTGAAATGAATGTTCACGAATAACTATTTCCTTCCTGCTAAAGCAGCAAGGAAAAAGAGAAAAGCAAGCCTTTTGCACCATGCACTTCACACCTTCAGGAGGCAATAACCCTGCTTGGTTAGGACAAATGGTAGGACACACAAGGAGATGTTTGAAATCAAGGTCTCCTCACTCTTTCCTCTCTCTTCAAGTAGGTCGTCCCTCTCGGCTGATTTTGTGTAACTGGTCTAGCTCGTTAGAAAGCAAAAAGAACCCATCCTGCTGCATAAAGCATCTTAACACCTATGTTACAAAGAGAGCTAGCGCTCTACTGCGGGAGAGGGGTCGTTAAAAGGGAGCATCACCAAGTAGTGCTGTTTTAAACTTCTTGCAGGTTGTAGCAGCCCGGATTCCTCAGCACCACCTTCAGCAGAAGCAGCACAGCAGAAGCGTTTTCTGGTGGTTCCCTGTTACCGGCTGCACCGAGCTGCCAGAGCTTGGTCACCCAACCACGACTGCACGAGGGAAGCCGAGCTCTCCTCCTCCTCACAGACTCCCAGTGCGGGAGCTTTTCGTTGCCATCCCCCCTCCCCGGGTTACAGCCACAGGGACTGCATGGGTGCGGGCGCCCGACTGCTCATCCTCTTGCGCAGTCCCCAGCGCGGGAGCGGTGGGTGCTCCGGGGTGCTCCCGCAGAGTGGGCAGCACCCACCTTGCCGGGGGAAGGGGCGGCGGCGCAGTTCTGGAACCTTCTTGCGCAGGCCGGCGCAGCGCCCAGCACCTGCAGCCCAAAATCCACCCGGCAAAGGTGGGTGCTCCTCAGGGGAGCATGGCTTTGCTGTTCTTCCCAGCACACCGACAACCGGAATAGGTTTTTTTTTTTCCCGATGTACTGCATTTCCCAACATTTTTTTTAAATGAATTGCGCTTTTGCTTCATCCTCGTGAGGTACACAACAGCTAGAACGTGCTGCCTGCACGGAGCTCAGGAGGGGCCGCGGGCTTGGCCCACGCGTGGACCCCACTGCTCCCCACCTTTGAAATCCGGTGCCAGAGATCACCGAGTTACCTAATTCAGGCCCCTGTACCCCTCTTCTGGGCAATAGGGTTGCTGCTCTTTCATGTAGCACCCCACCACCACTCCTCTGGAGAATCCAGCCCCACGTTCCCCTTCGCCGTTTCCATGCCTGCAGCAACACTGACTCCCTGATTTTGGTCGAACCAGAGCTGGGGTGGACTTCTGGGGGTGCCCACCTGCATCAGCGGGGCGCAGAAGGGCACACCGGGGCTCAGCAAGCGGCTGTGGGCTGAGCCACGCTCTCACAGCCCTCTGCTCCCAGTGGGAACTTTTGGTTTAACCCCACACACACACCCTGTGGCTCCCCAAGTGCAACCCCCCAAACAAATTCCTAAACCCATCCAAACGCCTCATTTGCTTCTCTTTGCCAGACCAGCCAGTAGATGCCCCGGACCTACTGGCATTTTGTCCTAGGCTTTTTTGGGGTCCACCCGCGCTGGGGGGATGGCTGTGGGGGTGCAGGGGGCAGGTGCTGAGCGAAGCCCTGGCTCTGCATTTGTCGGTCCCACGCCAAGTGCCCCCGGCCTCCCGCACCTGCCTCGCTCCCCTGGTTCTTCTTGCCTGTCTGCACAGCACAACAGGGCTGGTGGGCAGCCCCCCACCCCAGGCAGGCCCGCTGCAGCCCCTCTGCTGCCGTTTTTGAGCCCCTGCAATTACTATTAGCTGTAGAGCTTTACGTGCTCCCCATGTTTGCAGGGTTTGGGTGCTGTGGGCCTCCTCTCTGCAAATGGCACGGTTTAGGGAGATCTCATGGAGGGAAGCGCGCTGGTGCAGGGCTGCTGCTCCTGGGTAGGCTTATAGCCCCCTTGGGATCAGAGCCCTTTTGGTGGCATAAAGTATGGCCAGAGTGATGCACCGTCTTCCCTCAAAAAATTCTTAGCTCAAAATGCATTCAATTCCATGGATGTTTTAAATGTTTATGGTACTATTTTCTTATTATTTGTTTCAGTGCTGCAAGCTTTACTCATTTGTGTAGTTTCTGACAGAGGTACCAGAGGCATATGCTGGGTTGGGCCTTTTTCCCTGATGGAATAGGTACCCCTCACATAAGGGCATTAGTGTTTTTCTCTCCTGGAAGACTCTTAAAACTTTAAGCTTGCAACTTATTGCCATGTAATTGTGAAGCTGTGTTTTTCTTGCTAGAAATTTCTCATAGGAACTTGTCTCCCTGACATGATCCACTTACTGTTTTTTCCTTCTCGAGCACAGGCTTGTTTTTCAATAAAAATAAAAGCAAAGAGCTAATTCTGAAATTCTTAGTCAGACAAAGCTTGCACTGAAATCAAGGGGAGTCTTGTCTCGGTGTAAAGATTGCAGGTTCAGGATCAAAATAATAAAACATTGTCACAGGAGCAACATCTCCTACTTCGAAAATAAACATCTTTGCTCCAGTTAGGTATTTATGTAGCAACAGGAGACTATTGATTTAGGAAAGGTTTTTGGTGCACAGATACTCTAAACCCTTAGTGCTACTGAGAAGCAGCAAAGCTCAGGAGGAGCAGGTTATAGAAGAGGTATAATGCAAACCTCTGCTCTCTTTTGTGGCTGGCAGTACTTGGGTAAACCCTCTGGCTCACCTTTACCTGAAACACCCCTTTGCCAGCCCTTCTCCCCATCGCATGGCCAGGTGTTCCCAGCCAGGCTGCAGAGCTGACAGCAGTAAACGTCTGCCCATGGTGGGGACATGGGGCTTCCTTCACAGCCTGACAGAGGTACTGAAGAGCAAGGGCTGCATCCCTGCTTGAGTATGATACCCCTGTAGCTAAAGGAATCTTACAAGGGGGACAACAGAAGTTTTGGTAATTGTACCAAAATAAGAAACAATCTACCGATTCATCAGTAGCACAGATCAATATGGGGCGGGGGGGGTGG